ATACTAACCCCGTGTTTGCCTACTGGTGGTGGTCAGAGGGCCCGGTGGCGCCAGTGTCCGGCAGCCTCGCCTCTGTCAGTGCGCCCCAGGGCAGCTGTGGCTACAACGTAGCTTGCCATTGCCAGTGTGTGTGTGAATGACTGAATGTAGTGTAAAGCGCTTTGGGGTCCTTAGGGACTGAATAAAGCGCTATACAAATGCAGGCCATTTACCATTTGCACCAGCGTGCGTCTGCTCTTATATAACAATCATTAGCTTACAGCTTTACGTGTTTAAGGTATGTGCTAACTAAAAATAAAGACAAGATGATAGTTTATTAAACTTTTAATGAAATTTGCAGATTGTTTCAGTGGAGTTTAATAAACTCAGCCGTCTGCTCCTGACTACCTAAAATATAACAGGACACTGGAGTAAATTCTCGATCATCTCACTCTTCTGTTTAATGTTTATTTAGCTGTGAGAAAACTATAACTTTAATCTCAGCCAAACCGATTTACTCAAACTAATAAAACACTGAAAAAAGCCAAACACCAACATTTTTAAATGATCTGAACGACTTACATTCTTGCTTGTAAATATCTTAAGTTTATTTTGTGACCCAGAAAGATTAATATTTAAACTAAGTAGCTGACACCATTGTTGGAATTGGCTGGGCCACGCTATGAATTCTGGGATAGGTTGGGCCATGAAGGATACACCCGACCCATCCTTCAAATCTGGGGAAATGAAGGCCGCATTTGGAGGAGTCTTCAAGTTTGGACAGTCTTCGTTGTGTCGCTGTAACGTAATCGGCCTACAAACGCAGCCTCCAAGGATGCGGCCCCTGAATTTGGGCACAGCTATGATACCGGAGACTGCTGCTTCTTTTTCTTCTTTCATGTTTAGTGGCAGCTGGCATCCTTGTACATGCAGTGCTGCCATCTTATGTTTCAGTACGTTATTACACTTTTAAATCCTACTAGTTATTCCTGCATTTTTCAGGAGCTTACAAAGCTTCAGACACGTCGACTATTAAATTAGTGGTTGACGATTTTGATAGTAGACGTAATTGTGACAAGTCGACTAATCGTGGCAGCCCTACTGGATTTTTGCATAGTTAACCCTGACTCAGGCAGTGCTGGAATCTAGTGCCTAAGGTGTGACCTGAGATTCTGTGCTATACCTGGTGTAGTCCTGGAGCGTAGCTTCAGGGGGCTGGTGCAGTTTGGGAATGGGCTATATCTCCCATAGTGAAACACCGAGCAAAGGTAGAAAAGAGCGTTTGGTTACTTAACGTAATCCCTGGTTCTTTGATAACAGTGTTTCACCAGCACTTTCATCCTTTGCTTGGGGACCAAAAGAAATCTACTGAGAATGAGTCAGGAGGGGCACGGCTCGACAGATCTGTCATGGACAGACAGGGTGTCACTGGAGCTTCCATAGTTAGTCACACAAAGGTGATTCCCATAGTGAAACATCTCACTCTATTATCAGAGAATCAGGGATTACGTTAAGTAACCCAACATTGCTATTTATATGCAGTAAATATTGATTTACTTTAATTTACTGTTGCTTTATATTTTCTAGCAAAATCTTCTGTATTTACTCAAATTTGCAGAGCAACAAAAAGCTCATATGAAGCCCAAAATCTGTGAATATCTATTCAGACATGCTACTAAGCTGCAGTTCACAGTATTTTAAAAAAAGATACTGTGAACTGCAGCTTAGTAGTTCAATGATTTAAGCAATTTTTAGGTAATTCATGCTACATGCTTTGGTGTCTTTTTTTTTTTTTCCTTTCTTTTTTTACACTATGCACTCTATTGTCTTGTTTTGTCAAGGATATGTTGTATCCTGAAGAAAAGGGTTCAGGAAGCTCCCCCAGTGACATGTCAGCTGATTCAGTAATCTTCAGGTATGGAAAATAAAAATATGAGAATGCAATATAATCAATATTATCACCTTCTGTTCAATTGCAACCCGCAACCCTGAGGAGGATCAGCAAAAGAGAAAGGATGGATTGTTTACTAATTTACCTCTTTGTTTTCTCCCAGGGATTCCTGTGGCGCTTCATCAGAACCTGTGGCGCAGACCTGTAATTCGTCAAAAAACTCCAAGGTTCAGGTCTTGTATTACCTTTCACACTAACAGTGCTATTTTGA